TTTCAAATCTTATTTAGGTAATTTCTTGGATAGAAAAGGTTTACCTTTACATAAATAAAAATCTGTCAAGGTGCTCTTTGCTTCTCTCACCAACCTTTTGAATATCACAGATTACCTCTGATCAACCCATAACAGCTCCAAGCAACCTCCTGCTGGTAGACATTAATTATTAAAAATCACATAAACACTTTCATCTCATTAAATCATAATCAAAATACAGAAAATGGCAATAAGTACGTACCCCCTGCCCTTAAAAAACAGTACCAGACGGAGACAGAAAGCTCCCTTAAAATGACTTAAACCACAACAGTGTGAAACAACAAAATCATCGACATGGTTTAAAAAGAAATACGGGAAAAGCCAAAGCATAGTAAAGCCTTTTACTGTCCTGTTAAGCCAGTTGTAAAGTGCAAAATATCAATGATCAACTCTTTAAAAAACCCTGTGGTAATATAAGAATTTCTCATTTTTAACCAAAAGCCTTACATGTTGATAGGATAAAAGAAGTATTATGAATCTTGCAGGAAAACAAGAACAATCATTATACTATAGCCAATACGTGACAGCTAACGCTCATTTTTTTAGCAGCAAATACCTACAGATTATACCCAAAAATTAAAAATACGAAATGTTGCAAACCAAGTTTTAAACACTGGTTGCAAGCTTTTCTCTATCTTATTGAATTCTTTAAAAAAAATAGTGTTTCCAAGTAAAGACCAATTTTATTGCCAGTGTTAACGAATTTCATGGCCAACCATTGTTATATCATTTTCTGTTCCTCATTAAAATAATCCAATTATTTCATTGCCCTGCACTAAATCAAAGCTTTAAGCTATTGTCAGGCAAACACTGACATACAATGCATGAACTAATGTACTGAAGTAGAGTATTGGTGAAATAATAATACAACATCTACTTCTCAGTATACTATCCACATTTATTTATAGAAAAGGCTTGCAGGAGCAGTTAAAAACAATAGTGAAATTTTAGACTTTTATAATTCATAACCATCAAATAGCTCAGAGCCAATGCTGCATCTCAATGTAGCAACATTTCTGTAGTTTTTCATACTGTAGGTTTCAATTTTATTGTCATATCCAGTCCTCTACAGAATACAATGAACACTGGTAATGCAAAAGTAAGCATTGATTAATCACCCAAACTTAGAATGCATAATAAAAATTCTTCTTAGGCCATTAGTTAATATAATAAAAAATTTAAATCTAATTTCCAGTTGGTTTATTTTTGTCAATCTGTATAAAGTAATTAGAAGCGTGACTTGAGTTGAATAAGCAAAAATATTACTTCCATATCCGCAAACATTTAATAAAGCCTCGGGAAGTAAAACTACAGGGAGCAATAAATCCAGGACAGAAAAAACATGTCAGAATCGGAGAAGCTTACATTTAAATTCTTTATCTCTAAATTTCAAACTCAGCTTTGATAGATAAAATATTCACTCATTTGCTCCATTATGGTTCCTTGAATATAAAAGAAAACCAGATACCTTTACACTGACAATACCCTTTTAAAACATCCCTAAATAAAAGATCAGGCTCTAAAAAAAAATCAGAGTTCATCATTTTAAAGATAAAATGCACTTAAATTAAAGTAAACCCTTAGCTTTCATGATGTAATGTTATCATCTCCAATAACTCTATTCATATTTTTTCTGCTTTGACTTATACAGAAAGCCTATAAGGCTGAAAATAATCTTATAACAAACCCTAACATGCCCATGGAACATAGTTTTACATCCTTTCTGAACACACTTTACTGTCCCTAATTGTATAACAAAAAGCATATATTTATATTGTAATAAATCAGACAACATTTTTCTGATGGTATCAGTTTCACTCTTTATGGTCTGTAAAAATATTATAAAAAACATTTTGAAATCAACCTTGCATAAAGAAGACATCTGTTGTTGTTTTGTTTTTTGTTGTTTCTGGCACTTAACATTTGGCCCTTGTCTTATTTTACTAAGATAAATAGGTTGAAAACTGGGCTTTTTTTGCCCATATGCCCAATACAAATTTTATTTGAACAAAAGGTGTGGAAAGTCATTGTTTGTTAGTCTATTTGTTTAAACCTAACCCCTTTCCAACTACATATTCTTCATTATGTAAACATCTTTTTGCTTTGAAACCACATTTTCAGTGTTTATACAGAGATTAAAATCTTTTATGTCTATTCAATGAAAATATTCCCAGTGGATAGTGTTAGTTACTCATTAATCAAAAGCAGTATTTAATGCAACATCAGTGAATACAACATTTAGTTCATGCCTTGGAGTTAAAAATGCATAGAGATTTGATAATAAAAAGTTCCAAAAACTACATACATGTGAAATGCATACATTTCACGTAAATGCATGAAAAATGTATGCATTCAGCGCCTTGCAAATAGTCTTACTTCTGATTTTAGCTTATAAAACGGCGTCCTTTAAATTGACAATTTGTAAAGTGTTGTTTAATATATGACCCAAAAGTAGCAACCTAATTTGACTGGTGAATGCCTATTCTGACAGGTGGCCACCTATACTGACAGGTGACCATCTAATCTAACAGATGACCACCTATACTGACAGGTGACCACCTATACTGACAGGTGGCCACCTATACTGACAGGTGACCATCTTTTCTGACAGGTGACCACCTATACTGACAGGTGACCACCTATACTGACAGGTGGCCACCTATACTGACAGGTGACCATCTTTTCTGACAGGTGACCACCTATTCTGAGAAGTGACCACCTATTCTGAGAAGTAACCACCTATTCAAACAGGTAGCCACCACCTCTGACAGGTATCTACCTAAAACGACAGGAAGCCTAGAGGCCTGTTGTAGCTCTGGACGAGCTGTAGATGTCAGGAGGGGAAATCTATTCAAAGAAAAATTTGCGGAACTTCCGAGTAACTTGGCAATGGCAAAAAACAAGGAGACTGTGTGAATTTGTACAAAGTTTACTTCATACCCGAACTTTTTGCCCTTCGTGTAGAATGCTTTAAATTAGTAAAGCACTTAGACCTGAATAAATTATTGAAAATACAGTGATGGTATCGTTAAGATACTGGGATAGGATGTAGCCAAATGGAGCCAAATAAAGGGCAGTCATTGAAGAAAAAAATAAATGTTTAAAGTCTGCAAAAGAACTAAATCTTGTTCAGAAATCCATGGTTCTACAGGTCGACAATACACAGCCAATGCTAAAATATGTTGATTTAGATCAAAGATGTTCATGTGTGAAAATGAGCAGTTTGTAACTATAATTGCATTCAAATGTAGCTCGACAAATTATTGATTCAATCAGATTTGAGTGACTTAGAGCAGTTATAAAAAGAAGGAATGAGCCAGAAACAAAAGCTATGGATTAACAAAATTAATAGAACCATATGATGAAGACTTTTAGCTACAATAAATTACAGACTTGTTGTCAGTGAATCAACTGTCCAGGCTACCCAGGCTGTCTAGCTTAAATCTACTTTGCACACCCAGAACTGGGACCAAATTTAAAATTCAACTCTCATGCTCCACTAATATGGAATAAATGTCCTAAAAACTATAAAAGTGCTGAAGCCCAAAGGTGCTTTAAATCCAGATTAAAAAGTTATTTGTTGAGAGGCTTTTGAATGTGCCATCTAAACATTATTATTAAATTTTTTTGTTCAACGTTCCCTTCATTTTGTCATTATTCTTATTATTTATCTTTTAATGAAGTTTTATGATCTTAATTATTCACTTTTATGCTCTTCAATTATTCCTATACCTTTATGTCAATGTAGTTCACTTTCTTTTTCTTCTCATGTTAAGCACTTTGAATTGAATTTGCTACTGAAATAAATACTATAAATAAGCTTGTCCTGCCTACAGATTTTAATGTACTTCCTCCCCATGCTGAAGAAATGCATCACCACAGCATGATGGTAACACCACCTTGTCTTACCACGCCAACAGTGAATTATGATGATAGCTGTTCACCAAGCATATCCAGTTGCATGTCAACTAGAAAATGCATCCTGCCTCACTTTCCACATGCATGCTCCATGATCTGCAAAGTTGGAAACAAACTGAGGACAGGAATTTTTATGGTTTTCATCTTGCCATTCTTCCACTAAGGTAAAAGTTGATGTCTGCAGGGTTGCATAACCATGTGTTGGTAAATTTCGAAGCTCAAATTTTACCATTCAGGTTTCCTATTCCCTATTCGATATTCGTAGCTTGGCATTGTGTTTGTAAAAAGTCATAGTAGCCCGTCTGCTGAGCTCCAATGCATTTTATTTAGCCATACCATGCATTTACCTCTAATGAATTTCTAGAACAAATTTCTTTTTCCTCCTTAAAGTTCGAAGTGATGCACTCCTCATCTTTCTCCTATAACACCAAATTAAATTATCTACTCATAAACTAATGTCAGATAAAAGATTGTAGCTTATCAACTGTCTGATCATGCTTTTATAAAAGGACATGTTATGCTAAAAATACCTTGTAGCTTTGGAATCATGGAACTCTTTGTTAATCCCTGGATTTGGGACAAGCATTAATCCCCCTCCTGCATGCTGTCCACATGGCTCTGCTATTAGGGAACAAACATTGTCAAGAGCCCCCCACCCCCCAAAACAAGCCTCCAGCATCCTAAAGGGAGGCTGGTGTTTCTAGAAGTTTTGGGGATAGCCTGCTTTAGTGGGTGGATGTCCTCAGAGTTAGTTTTGTGTATCTGAGAGGAGGGAGGGTGTGTATGCAGGGCCCTGCTGCAGCATCAGAGATTTGACAGCTGTGTTTATGTCCCACAACAAACTATACAAGGAGTAAAAAAAAAAAAAAAAAAGAGCAGATAGTAAAAAGAAACAAACACCCAGCTGGGATCTGAGAGGAGGGAAACAGATGAAGAAGGAGCGCATAATGCGCATCTGTGTTCATTTTTTTGGGAACATAGAGGCTCCCAGCTGAAAACACGCACATTACTATAACAGACACCGACTTATCAGTGGAACTTACTCGTTTTTTACGTATCTGCTTTCATGGAATAGTTTATCCAGCTGGAACACATCCAGCCCGATCAGCGCCCGGTGCATCACGGTCAGGACCAGCTCGTTACTCCCCCCGCGCTCCAGCGCGCCGGGCAGCAGCTCGAACGAGCACTCCTCCCTCCACTCCGGTTCGGTGGTCTTCTCCGCCACGCCGGTCGAGTACTTCTCCTTCCCCAGCTGGATGATGGTGTACACATCGCTGGTGCCGTGTTTGCCCTTTCCCCGCAAGCCCCTGCCTTTCAGCACCGTCACCTGGACGTGCGTCGGTTCCCACTTCTGGTCCTCCTCCTCCACGGTTAGTGAGGACATGTCCCCTTGCAGACAGACACAGCTGGTGGCGTCCGCCGCTTCCTCTCTGCGGCTCCAAACGCAGTCACATCAGCGCCGGGGTCCGCGGGCGGTGCCGCATTATTCTTCTTATTACCTTCCTCCCCCCCTGGCCAAGTTATCTGGGTCTGTTTTCGAGCCTCGGCTGCTCCGTGTGCTCTGCGGCAGCATGCAGGGTCCGTCCCCGCCTGTATGGGCCTGTCTGCGGACAGCGACGTCACGCCTCCTCCATCCTCCTTCTGCAGGACGAGGAAGTTGAGCAGCTTGAGAAGCACATGGCTGCAAACACAGAGACCGCAATAAGACGCCTCTGCTGGAACGCAGAATGTCATACTTCCTTTCTTTCTATTATTTTACAAAATTACCATCATACTTATACAATAAAAAAAATCCGGATAATTGAAAGACCTGCATTTAAACCTACAAGTTATGAGTTTTTTTTTTTTATACATTTCTGCATTGGCGGTTCTAGACCAAATGTACCAGGGGGCCAGGAGGGGACCAGCGTTTTTTCATAGGGGCACAGAAAAGTATGAAAAAAAAAAAAAAAAAAAAAAAAACAGGGCAAAGCATTCAAATATATTCAGTCAATCTCTTTATTTAGACACAATTATGGTCCCACAATTATGGTCCATAAACAGACAAAAACAACAACAATAATAAAAAATAGGAAAATAAAAAATATATAATAAAATAATCAATCACTGACATATAAACTAAAGCGCCAAAGATTCCACAAACTGGAAAAGAATCTCACTGAGCTTTGAACAGGATTGGTCAGAGTCTGAATGATGCTGTTTGCAGAGTCTGTTAATCTACACATCTGCGCATAATGTTTCGAAGCACTGCAGCGCAGGTTGGTATATTAACATTCACAAACATCTGACTGGCACTACACCATCGGGGCACCTTAAGCAGCATCCTCATGCCATCACTATAAGCGACCTGAAGTTTATTTATACTGCTTTTCCTGTAGTGGGCTGTATACATTGGAGTACAGTATGCTTTAAAAAGTGCAATTTTGACAGATGCTGAGCACATGGAGAACCTCCGAAGAATATTAGCTTGTACATATTGAGTACAACACTGCCTGTAAATGTCTTTATCATCAGACATGTCAGCGGTGATGTAATGTCCTAAATATTTGACCTAATCAGTGACCTGGAGGATACTACCAGACAGAGTGAAGTCAGGAAAAGATAAGTTAGTGTCTTCTTTGCTCTTAACAATCATGATGTTGCTCTTTTTTGCATTGTATTTAATGTCATGCTGTCACCCATACTGAGAGCAAACCCTTAACAGTTGCTGCAGACCAGCACTATATGGACAGAAAATCACAAGATTTTCAGCATACATCAGGTGGTTGATGGTTCGATTACCAACCCGACAGCCAGTCCTACATTGATTCAGCAGGTTAGATAAATCATCCATATACAGGTTATATTTAAGGGGAACACCGTTTTTTTTTTTTTTTTTTACATTGGCCCCTTGATTTTACGTTATTACATCATGTTCTACTCACCCATATGAGTTTTGTGTCATTTGGAGCCATTCTGAAGATATTCGTTTAGGTTAAATACAAGTAACATCTTCCTGTGGGCAACGACTTGAAGGCATAAACTAAGCTGTTTATAATTTATTATTTATGGTACGCCAGCTTTCATAACATGTAGGTGAATCACTGTCCCCCAGACATCCGCGATTATATATTTTTTATATTTATTTATTTATTTTTTAAAGCGGAGTGTGTATGACGTCATCCCAAGCCGGACTGGAGTTGTGACATGCAGCCCGGGCCGCAGGCGGCTACGCTCTAACCCTTCTATTCATTCGGCTAGCTAATCTAAATAATTCAATTCCATTTCGAGAGCGAGATCCTCTGTGGTAGTAATTTCTGGCTACGCCAGTTTTAAAAAGCAAGAACTAAATGAAGTGGGTTTAAATTGAATTTTAGATTTTTTTCAAATGTTCATAATTTTACAATATTTATTAGCTCTAACATTGATAAAAACAGGAAATTAATGCAATACAGTCCAACACAAAGAACATATTACTCTCCATATTCTCAGCATAAAGCAGAGGACTCCTACTAAACACAAAGGAACAATCATTCCCCAATTAAAGCATAGGTTTCCTCAGATGCGAAACCAGAAACTTTTTATAAGGGTGGCCAAGCAATAACCAATGTACACTGAGGGGTGGCCGAAAGCAGATGGGGACCAGAACCTCAGGGTCAATCTACACTGTTCCAACATAAAAAATGAACGAGCAAAACATCCATATTTTCAAAAAAAAAAAAAAGACAAACTGTGCTTTCCCACAGCCTTTGCTAACAAATATACGCATATATTTAAACATCCGTAATTTCTAGATAAAAGGTATAGTGGATAAAACTCAGTTTTGAGTTCTGGGGCGTAAATCAATCATCATTGTCATTACTTACCTACTTGTATTACATAAAATTGATATTTTAAAGCACTAATATCTACATAAATTGATTATTTGCTAAGTTTTTATTAAAATTGTTATTTATCTTTGATTTCACCGAAGACTCCTAGATGACCTGCAGAGACGCATCTTTTTCTCTTTACCCCATAAAACACAAAATCTAGTCCTGAAAAGAATGAATGAATTTTGTATTTATCATCTTTAATGTTTGTATATTGATGTGTATAATTAACCACAAAAAAATAAAATACTTTGAATATTCCACTAGAGTATTACTGTTGCCACCATCTGTATCAGAGGGGGAAAAAATGGTAGGGGGGCCACAGGGGTGGCCAATGATTGGCTAAGAGTGGCCATGGCCACCCCTGGCCCCCAATCTAGCTCCACCCCATGGTGTCCTTGAGCTAACTTTGCCTGTAAGCTGGTTTCTTGCAATATTTGTGCGTTCACAAACACAGAGAGTCAATCTGAAAAACTCAAATTGGTAGGTACACTTACGTGTCAGTAGTCACCACAATAAGTGCTATCCAAATAGTGCAGGTAGGAAGGAGCTAGGACCAAGAAGCAGCTTCATAGCACCAATGTAATTAGCAGTGGGGTACACATACTTTTAGAGGGGCAGAAAGGGGAAAAAAAGGGCACATATGTAAATCCTCACCAGTGCTCCCAAGGGGAAACTTTAGCACAGGCTTTGGCTTCCAAGAGGGCCCTTTAGCAGGCGCTTTGGCTCCCGAGAGAGCACTTTAGCAAATGCTTTGGCCCCCAAGGGGACACTAACATGAGTTAATATCTTGCGTTACAGGATGTATAGACACAGCCCACCTCACTGAATTGAACAAAAGGACATTATTTATTCAGGTGCACGCAGTGTGACAACTGCTAATGTACACACCTTCATATATTTGGGGTTTTATAACATATGCCTGCAGCTGTTTGCTATATTTGTGTTGCTGCTTTTTTTTTTTTTTTTTGTGGCTTCCCTAAAGGCTGTAGTCCAACTTTGACCTGCATCACTCATAGTGTGGCCATTTCTATAGCACCAAAGGAGGACATTATGCAGCATATCAATAAATTACTAAGGCGTATGTAAGAGTCTGGTAAAGTGTTATTTATAGTACAATTGTGAGGGATTTAAAGAGGATTGCTGGTGTAGCTGAATAGGAAAAAATATTAATGAAAAGTCAAAAAGACTATACAATGCTCTCTGCTTATTTTTTTTTTGTGTGGCATGTATTTATTTTGTTATGTCCCCCCGTAGAAAAGACTGCCTTCACCCCAGACAGCAGGTACACATTACCTAGAAAGGCGTATAAATTTATAAAAATCTACATTAGGGCATTAACGAGTTGTAAAGTCCACGATTTAACAGTTGTCAAGGTCAAGTCGATGCGTCATTCTATGATGACATCACATTAAGTCGGGCTACAGGACAAGGTGCAAAATTAGTTAAAATATGTCTTGCTGCAGCGATTGTCTTTGTTACTGCCGGCAGGTCTAATGCAGCTTTTATTGCTAACTACATTGTGTGCAGTACTAAACCCATATAATAAGCTAAGAAAAAAACAGTTTTCCATGCCGCACTCACACTGCTATGCAAGACCACGCCTACCAAGGTGTGTGGAAGCAAATTTCAAGAGTCCACATGTGAGTCTGCCTAATTAAATGGAAAAGTTGACTTTTTGGTAAATTCCCTAATCTACATAACCCAGGTACACTAGTTCAATTTTTATTTTTTACTGATATATTAGCCATTTTACTTACTAATATCTCAAAAATCTAATATTTTCATTGATAAGCCTGAAACCCAATGTCCTGATAAAAAACAGACCTCAGAAGCTAGTTTTCTTGGCCATTTTCATGTTAAATGCATGCTCATATGCTGCATGATCTGCATAGATTGTCAAAATAAACTATTGTTGTTGATATCTGTAAATTAGTTGGGTTTTTTTTGGGTGCAAATTAGCACTGTTCAACTCAGCCACTAAGATCAATTTGCTGCTTGTTTGAACAGGAAATATCTTGATGCGTGGGTTTACGAAAACACAAAGAGGTTGAATAATCTCAGGCTGGGAAAGAAATTGTGTCTGAGCTCTGATCTGTGTATGATAGGTTTAGCAAAATGATGAGTTGTTTTCTTTTCTATTTAATGCCTATTTTAGTTTGGTGGCTCGGTTTACAACAAATAATAGAAAATGAATTACTGAAATATCTTTTAATTACAGATTTTTAATTACTACAGAATTTGTAACATCAGCTGTTTAGAAATTCACATCTTTAATATGAGTTTCTAAGAGATACTCCAACGCAATTGATCTCATGGTCCAAAAGTCCATTTGATCAAGAGCTTTACCAACAGCAGATGTTTATACTGTCAAGCTGTGTACTTGTGGGACTAACACACAGTAACAGTACAGTAAGTTGAAAAATTATTTATTGAAAAGTACAAAAATTAAAAAGAACAAAATACCAGCTGTTAGCAGACATGGATAAGAAGTAGAAGAGAAGCATGATCTGAATGTATTTTAAAAGAGTAATGACAAATGAAGCTTCACATTGTCTGTCAGCCATTTCAGAAGATGAAACTCATATATCATATAGATTCATTACTCATGTGAATAATGTCAAGCTTTTATGTCTTGTAAGTTAATGCTTATAGATAATGAAAACCACAAATGTGTTGTCTCAGATAATCACATCATTGTGGAAAAACCTCTAAATACTTGAAAATCATGATACCCCACTCTCAC